GTTATTCTATTATTTTATATTGTTATTCTATTTATTTATATTGTTATTCTATTATTTTATATTAGTATATTAAGTAGGAAAAGATTAATAAATTAATTAACGAATTAACAAATTAGTTAAATTGATTAGCAAATTAGTTAATTGATTAGCAAATTAGTAAATTAGTAGGATTAACAAGATTAGCAAAAAAACAGTTACCTTTTTTTATCTTTTCTACCTTTTCTATCTTTTCTACCTTTTCTACCTTTTCTACTGTTTCTACCTTTTCTATCTTTTCTACCTTTACTGTTTCTACCTTTTCTACCATTTCTTATTATTTCTAAAAAATATATAATATAAACTCTGGCTTTTCTTCTTCCTGCTAGATAAGTTTGAATTAGATACAGATATTTCTTTAGTTATAGAACCCTTTTTGTAATTAAAGTTTTATAAACAGTAAATAAAATATATCTTTCTTTAATTACATACTTTCCCAAACTGCCCTTAGTGGAGTTATATTCTACTTTTACACTGCTATATTATTGCAACGGATTCTTGTAGCTATGTGCTTTATTACTTGTGCTGTATTAAGAAGGCTATAGTCCACTTGTAACAATAGTATATACTATACTATAAAAATTAAACTATTGTATAATTAAATAAAAAGAACATAACCAAGTGATTACTTTAATATCAAAAAAAATATAAAAAACTATTTTTTATTTTTAAATTTTAAAAATTAAAATTTATTTATTTATTTTATTTTGAATTTGCTATATATAAAATAAGATAATATTAATTTAACTATTTATTATATTTTAATTTTCTATTTATAAACTAATTTAAGTCTAACTATCATTAGTTATAAAAAAGAAAAAGAACCTGGTTTTAAAATTTTTAAAATTCTATATGTTTTTATACATAAATAATCATTAAATTTATATAATATATAAATTAAAACAATTTATCAAAACAAAAATTAAATCTCTTATTATTAGAATAAAAATAAAGGTTTAAAATAATAAAATTTAACAATAATTTTTTTCTGAAGTTTCAAAGATAGTTTTATTAATAAAATTTTAAGTTGTAATCAAATTTTAATATTTTGCTTAATTGTAATAATTATTATTATTATACAGAAAATCAAGATTTAGAAAACAAATACTTTACTATTATTATTATATATAAATTAACAGATACAGCACATAAGTACAGATTAGTACAGATTACCCCGTTAATATCAACCCCGTTAATATCAACCTCCCGTTAATATCAACCTCTTATTAAGAAAAAATAGGCTTAGGCTATATAAATCTATCCCGCTGTTATCAACCCTCGCACATATCAACATAATTGTCTAATCCAAATGGGTTGATATTAACGGGGTACCCTGTATATACTAAATTCAGAGACGGTCAGTTAAAAAGATATAATTGAAATGTTACGTACACTGTAAGCTTTAATACGTATTTGAAAACCTTTATACGCTATATACTGTTTGGCGTGCTATTCTGATAATAATATGCCTAACACATTATATCTCTTGCGTGTTAAATGGGGTGCTAAAGTAATAGATCGAGTATATATGCGTAAATAATTCATCTTTAGTAAGATTGTTACAACCGAAAATATAATATAATTATTATGTTAAAAAGGCTTCGTTAGTAATAAATAGGGATTAGAACCGTGATTCGTTTAACCGCATATAACATTATACAGTTAGACGAGTAAAAATTGTTAAAGTAACCGTTTTTTTATGCGATCACGTGTGGTAAACAAATATGCGCGTGATAAATAGCATGCATTAACCGTTGTAAAGGTTGTAAAGATTACCTAATTTTTATTACAATTGTACTACTTATATATATAGTTAGATACCCCGATAAAATATATCGATATAGTCAGCAGTTTACGTTTAGTTAATCTATCATATACGTATATATGGCTAATTATATATATACGTATATATATATATACATATAATTATATTTTCGATAATTCAAATCAACATTAACTTTTATGCCTGTTCTATAGTTAAAATGACCATAAGGAATATCGATATGATCATGGGAGTAATGAGTGAATCAATAACGATAAATAGAATGACACAATTACATAATCCAAAGTAACAGTCATACACCATACCGAGATCAAACAAGAGAAAACATGAAACGCAAACATGAAACAAAGTATTTATGTAGTTGATCTGATTTTCGTATCTCCCACATGGAAGATGATCGTCCTTACTGAACAAAAGCATTTTGTCGGGTATGTAGACTCACGTCATTTGTTGATACAGAAAATAACAAAGATGACATATAATATATATATAGTTATAAATAGAATTTCACTAAATTCAGTAATTTCCTTGTTTTCATTCATCTAATATTTCTAATATTTCTAATATTACATGCATCAACGTTCTTACGTAGTCTCACGTACGTACGTACATATGTCAACAAGAATATTATGTTCTTGTAAACGAATACACATGTGTACATTATATCTTCGTTTAAACCTGCTTTATTTTTTTTCCTTTCTTTTTAGGTTACTTGCCTACATGATTTAAATCGTACTCCACATAAAACAACCACGCATGCGTGTGATTAAATCCAATTTGAATTATCGTAGTACATACGTACGTACGTTTATGTTACTGCAACGATCCCTTTTATATATATCTATATATTATGCTCATTTGCCCAGTTATTTTTTTTTCATTTGGCCTTTGCTCTTTTTTTTAGTCAATCTTTTCCCCTTCGGTGAACGTCTTCGCATATTACTTGAAAAAATATAGTCAATAAAAAAATATATATATATTGATTATATTTTGAAGTATGTCACTGCCAAGATCATCGCGAAGACGTTCTTCCGTTGCGGATGGAGACGAAAACATTACAAAATTACTGCTGGCAGCAAAAACTCAAAATATAATTTCTAAACGTCGTGGATCGGCTGTTTCTATAGATTCTATTCCACCTAATTCTGTCATAATTGATGCTACTATCACTACTACGAAAACCATCCCCTCCTCCAGAGATAAAATGTTATCTTCAAATTCATCTGATTTATCTTTAAAAACGCATTATGCATCTCCCAGTCAATTTTCTGACATTGAGAACGATAAATTTTCCAAAGTCAATAAAAAAGATCTGTTGCCTCGTCGAACTCTGTCACAGCATGTTCAACAACAACAATGTCTACATTCGAGATCTTTATCTCAACCGATTCCTTCGTTATCACAGCAGCGGCCTTTAATTCCTTCAGCCAATTATGATAATCATAATCAATATAAATTACGAACTGAATTATCTTCGAAAAAGTTATGTCGGTTTTTTGGTGATAAACCTCCCATCGATATCTGTGTTAAAGAAATCGAGAGAGAGGGACTTAAAGCTATGTTACATTCCAAGATTCCTTTATGTTATTTCTTGTATTCGTTGCTCGAAGAATATTCTTGCGAAAATTTGTTCTTCTTTCTCGAAGTAGAACAATTTGAATCATTTGAATACTCTAATTTAGCTCAGCAATATACGATAGCTCAACACATATTTGATACTTATTTAACGAGAAACTCCCAATTTGAAGTAAATATTGACGACAAAGTTAGAAAAAGTGTTGTATCATTTATTAAAAGTCAACGTGATCTAAGGCATTGCTTTGATGGTGCTAAGAGGGCTGTATTTGTACTATTAGAATCTAGTTTTGCTAGATTCATTCGAAGCAGTACTGCTGATCTTATGAAAAAGGAAATAGGTAAATATACACTAAATAACACCAAATAACACTAAATAATATATTATACGTACTTGTTCTTGAATATAATTCATAAAAAATTTGTTTACGATTGTTTATGTAGGTGAAACAACTACTCATTATTCTATAAAAGCACGTGATTCCGCAATATCTTTGCTTTTTAGTTTTTTCGACCGTCAATATTCTTCGTCACAGCCATCGTTGGTTGCTCTGAATTATAAAAATAAATCATTCATTCATTACAATCCTCCTTACAACCCTTACTCGACTCCTCCTCCTTCAAATGGCACTTCACCAATACCATCGCCAACATCAATGGTCTCTCATAAACGCATCGAACTAATCAAATCAATGATTTATGAATTCATTAGAACTTTATTAGAAGTTGAAATTGAAAGCTTGGATAGGTTAAATAAGACTGGTGATCCATCAAATAGTGGTGTCCCTTATAACCACTTGGACAATCTTAATATGTTATCCAATGATACTGGTAACGGTTATGACACGCGTGGGGATGAATCGTCGGTACAGTTACGGGTTATTAAACATCGTAAAAGTGGTAAAGAACAATTGAGAAATGCGTTTAGACGTCGTTGGTAGTTACCTCTCGACTTTACACGCATATATATATATATATATACATCAACTTTTTAAAAGAATTAGAATAAAATAGAATTTTATTTTAATATAATATAGAATATTATCTTTATATATGTTGCGCGTCAGATGCATCCTTACGTCAGATGGCTAATAGGCTAAAACGATATCCATACTCTCACTCTCTTACCCTAACTCTTACCCTAACTCACTAACTCTTACCCTAACTCGCTAACTCTTACCATAACTTAAACCTTACCCTAACTCACTAACTCTTACCCTAACTTAAACTTTACCCTAACTCGCTAACTCTTACCATAACTTAGACTTTACCCTAACTCGCTAACTCTTACCCTAACTTAAAACTTACCCAACCCTTACCATAACTTAGACCTTACCCTAACTCACTAACTCTTACCCTAACTTAAACTTTACCCTAACTCGCTAACTCTTACTCTAACTTAGACCGGACGCCATCTAACGCACGGATTCATCTGAGCACAACATATACGTATATTAATATAGTAATGTTTCATTATTACGTACGTACGTACGTACAAAATTTTAAATAATGTAACATGTATAAAATTCAGGTTATATGTATCCTTAAATGTTTATTTTTATGTATTCTTAAATATGGTGGGTTTACAACAATAGACAATTCAAGTCTTTCGAAATTGCAATTTATATTAGTCAGCCATTCATTTTTTTAGACTAAGTTTAACGGAATAAGTTAAACATAAAAAAGCATTAATTTCTCAAATTATTTTTATCAGAAAAAATAAAAAAGTTTAACACTCGATTTATCATTAAGGCTGTTGATGGAACAAGGATGGTAAATGACTTAATGGCTAGTGATCAGTCATTGGTCGGTAAAATCGCCACCCAAAAAAGTTTCGAAAATCATAAATTCATCATGATAACAAGACGTGCGCCTGCTCATGCGCTGGGAATTTTGATTTGCTAAAGTTTGAAATTGATTATATTTTTTACACGTGAAAACTGATTTTAATCTGTTTCATTATATGAACAAATAAGACCGATTCCAAGTTCACTTGGGATTATCAAGACAATATTTAGTTATATCTTTACGTTAATATATTTTGTGTTAAGTTGAATGTGAGGTGTCAACTTTATGTTTATTTGTGATATTTTTGTTAGGGTTGGTGTTAATGATTTTCATTTGATTGCTTAATATTTTTTTGCATAAAAATATGAATTCACGTTGGTATAAATATGAGCTTTAATGTATTGTTATTAGAGTCAAAACTTATATTTACTTCTAGTTTGTAATTAGAGTTTGGTTCCAATTTTATTTTCTTTGTTTTTAAATCTGGTCAACCTAGATTTTAATAAATGAAGAATAAAATTGATTATAAATTTTAATTGCAATTAAATTTTACAGTATTATAAATTTATTAAATTTTATTTTTATTAGTTAAGAACAGTTTTAAGATATTTCAAGTATTTTAGTTAACTTGTTAAAATAAGTATAAAAGCAAATTTTAGTTAGCAAAAAAATAATTTTTAAATTAATTAAATTTAATTTTCAATAAATGATGTATATATTATATTTAGATAAAATCCAAGGCTTTAATCTAACTCTAAAGTAATCAAAATTTGCTTTTTGTTTTTTTGTTATACAGATTTGTAAATCAAAATAATATATATAGTGTTTAATATCATAGCTGCATTTTATAATTACTAAAATATAATATATATTAATAGTTAATATTTAAAAAAAAATTTTCTCTTTTTATTAACAGCTTTGTTAGTATCTTTATTAAATCAAAGTATATATATATTTAACTATATAAACCTATAAATCAATATTTCTCAGCTATTCCAAAAGGCACCAAAGAATAGTTTGCTACACTAGTTGAGACTTTTGTTTATATCAGAGGGTTGCACCAAACTAGCTATTGAAACTATATTAAAATAGCTTTATTTTATTTTTAATAAAATTTTTAATAGCATCAAACCAAGTACTTTCTTTTTTGTATAATTCTCTTTTTTATTTTTTATATTTTTTTCTTTTAACTTTTTCTTTAATTTGTTCTTAATTTTGATTATTATAAATAGCCAAATACAAGACCTGGATCTGTTATATTTTACCAATTTAAAACTTATAATTTGTATGGGTAAGAGTCTAATAATTGAAAAGTTTATTCTATTTTTATATTATTTTTTTGGCTTTTTCCTATTTATATATTTTAGGTTTTTTACATTTTACTAAAACTTTATCCTATATTGTAGATTTGGATATAGCATATAATAGATCTACTATTTAAAATATCTTGTATCTGGCCATTTACAGTACTTTTCTCAGTAATCAATTTCATATATTGCTGAAAATAAGCTACTACTAAAAATAAGCTACTATCTAGTATTTTTCAAAAAATATAAAAATTTACAAATCATTTTTACATATAAAACTCAAAATTTTACTAAATAAATTAATTTTGGTTTCTTAATAGAATTTGTTTAGCTCATCAAGTTATATATAATTTGAAAGTTTTATATAATTTAAACAAATATCTATAAAGATATTTTAATTTTTCTAAAAAAACTTAATATTTTGAAAATAAGCTACTTATAAAATTTTTGTATAACTTTTTAGCTAAAAATGATAGCTTATTTTTGGTCATATATAATACTAGTAGTTGGCTTCTTAATTCTTGTTTTTTTTTTTTTTTCTTTACACTTATTCTGTTTTTTTCTATTTATTTATTTATTTTTTATTTTTTATATTAAAGTGATTACTTACAGGTCTGGCACAATTTATTAAACTTTGAAGTTGATATCAGCACAGTTATTTAGACTACACCTGATCTTGTTATATTAACAAGAGTATATTTTAGCTATATTTGTGCCTTTTAAGCATCTAATTTAAGTAGTTTACCTATTACTAAGTTCTATACTAGATGCTGTATCTGTAATCTATTATTATTTAGATTATCTAATTAAATCCTCTAATTAACTTTACATCATCAGATATCTTGTCTAAAGAGAAACCTGTCACTAAGGCCTGCTAAGTCTTTAAAGCAGACACACACTTCCATATAGAAGGGTCCTTTAATCTTGTGATAAACCTACTAGAACAGTTTATATCCTACATATGTATCATCTAAATTTTTAGTAATTTATGATGAGTCTGAGGACAAGTACTTGTGACCTTTTACTTCTGCTATTATTACCTACTCAGTATCCTTGCAAAGTTTGTTCACTTTCAGTTTCTTAAACTTCTAATTCAAATAGCCCAGAAGGGCCATGATCCACTCCTGATACCTACGATTAGATTCTTTTTTTCTGATTACTCATCTGGTAATCTGGTTGGTGAAATGCTTTGCCAAACACTTTGATTCTGTTCAGTTCCTTCTTTTTTTGCTGTTTGGTTTCTATTTTTAGATTATTAGATAATATTGTTAAAGATCTGTGCTATCTCTCTATTTGGGTCTTGCTAAGTAGGCTTTTGTATCCCAATTTGCTAGTTTTATCTGGTAGCTTCACTGTTATATAACTCATATATTACATAGTATTTTCATATCTCCCAGTACAACTAGTACTGATACAACTTCATTACAGATACTGATCCAATAAAATATAATCTTTCAAATGCATTTTGTAAATTCAAATTTTATTAGCAGTAGGATTCAAACTCTTGTCCTGCTGCTTAGGGGTGCAACAACTTACTAACTACACTAAATCACCACACTCTTTTTTTCTATTTATTAATAAGTATATATCTTTGTTTTTAAATATTTTTGTAAAAGTAATTCTATACTAAATTTACTGTTATATTAAAATAGCTTTTGACTTCTTTTAGAATTTTTCTTGCAATTTTCTTTTTGATTAGTCTTTTGAGTATACCATTTTTTATTTTATTTTTCTTTTCTTTTAATAAACTTTATAAAGTTTTTTTAAGTTATATTTTGTCAAGCTGACTATAAAGTTCTTTTAAAAGAGCTTCTAAATTAAATTTATTACTAGCTGCTCTGCTTCCTTTTATTTTGTTTTATATTTTTCACAAGTAGTTAGGTATTCTTGATCTTTTTTCTATACTTTTTGAGCATACTATTCACATTAGATTAATTAGATTATTATATAAATTTAATCTTTTATTTATCAAAATTTTTAGTACTAGAAGCTTCTTATATAAACATTTAACTAATACAGTCAAACCTCCCTATAGTCACCCTCTATATAAGCACATCATATAAAAATTCTCTTTATAAGCACATTTATTT